TTGAACTTGCAACTTGATAATACTTTGGAACGTGAAACATCAGTGCTCCTTCTATTTTGTTTCATTTGTCCTTGCTTTCTGGTTTTAAATTATTACCTTTATGGAGACCTTCTTGCTGCTGCTTTTAATAAAGATAGTTAAAATGCCATTGGTATGTCTCACAGCTTAATCTCACCACTTGACCATACAGAGGAAGCAGAACTGGGGGGAATTGTCTGTTTGCAGATGTTTGAAAATGGAATTTGACAATGAAAGCACAGAGTAAATCAACTGAGTTCCTGGTGGGCAGGATGATGGGAGATGCCACACTGGACACTGCTAAGGAGAGAGAGAGAGAAAGAGAATGATGTACATCAGCTTTGTCCTTCCTTCCCTATTCTCAGGTATTGCTGCCCCTGACTCAATATTTTTGTTTTTTTTCTCCTCTACCCTCCTGAACCACTTCTGTCCAGAACAGCCCTATTTTAGTCTTTGGACACCTCTTCCATGTTTACGAAATAATCCAAGAATCATTGTTTCCTACCTTACCAGCTTTAGCATATACAACTGGACTTGCTCCTTTGTTTCTGTTCCTTTTAGAGAGCTACTTCCTGTTAAGTTACTATTGTAGTTTGTTTGATCAAATAAATGTTTATTTCCTTTTACAAGCTGTTACTTGCTGTTCCAGTCCTCATACTTTTCTCCAGACATTGCTATATAGTTGCACTTGCTATAAATATGTCAGATAATTTTCAAATAGGAACAGAAACATGCCACATGCATTGTAAATCTCAACTACAGCCATGACTGTTCACCTTCACTTCTGTTTCTTAAGGTGCCACATATAAAAAAGCTTTTACTTCCTCTTGCTCCTTCTCAACCAAGTTTGCACTATTGACCTAAGGTTTGTTAAGGATTCTCGCTGAACTTTGCTACCAAACTCCTGTTAGCAATTGTGTTCACTCAGTAATTGAATCTTCAATCCATGTTCACTCAGTGAACTCACACCTGGAAATTGGTTGCCCTTTATTTTTTATAATCCCTTGAGCAACCTCTATACTCAGAAGAAAGCAGTCGCTCTTCCTTTTAACTATTATGGGGGATCAACAGTTCTCAGAACATACCTCTTGCAAAGAGCAGCTATTAAGGAGATGAACTTTTCACTTAAAAAGCAAGTAAGTCCCTACTACCATGGTAACTTTGCCAGTCTGCTCTTTTCTTTCTAGTAAACTTCTGGTTAACACTGTTTACTCACTCATGAACCATACAAAGGACAAGAATGTATTTCTTCTTCCAGGGGACACTGACATTTTGACAAAAACGAAAATGCTGATGGGCTTGTTTTCCTCTCAATTTAGAGTTTTGTGGATCTGTTCCTATCTTCTGTTAGGCCTCAAAGCATTGGAAGTAGAATAGACATTCACATCTGCTGCCATTTCTTTATATGATCGCTATATTTTTTTTCAAAGATTTTCTCAGAATGTCCATGTTTCTCCTAAAAGAATACCAAGTAGAAAATACGTTTTCCCCAATGCTTCTAGAAATGTTCACATGCTGAGCATTGTTGCTTTTTAAAGTTATTACTTCCATGCTTAATTCTATTTAGGATTGAGGAGAGAGAGGCATGACTAATTTTCCCCTGGTGGAACAGCCCCCCCACCACCCAGAATACACAGTATTATGATTGTTCCTCTGCATGCAGCCCATTGGAAGTCCTGTGTAAAAGGTTTTGTGGAAGTGAAAAAAGTTCCATTTATCCAATGTTGGATTTCACCCAGTGTATATTTAGCTCCCTCCCTCCTAGCATTCCATAAATCAATGAAATATTTTCTAATTAATTTGTGTGGGCATTCATTTTGGGAGGCTTTGATCAGCCTGAACTTTCTGTTTTTATATGTATATTTCATTGTATGCTATCCAGAGCTTGCGGTTGGAATGGGTTACAAATTTTGCAAAATAAATACATATACAATTTTATTTTATTTACTGTCCTATGCTCTCAGTTAGTCCAAAGGTTTTTATTTGGCCAGAATATTGTCCAATAAGAACCTCATTTTAAATAAATTAGATTATACCCTTTCTTCCTCTAACATTCCAATGGCTACTTGGGTGCCCAGTTACTGTACTAAACAGAACCAACTTTCTTTACAGCAGCAGTACATACAACTAGTGTCAATACAAAGAAGATTTTACAGTTGTGCTGATTAGCTTTATACTTTTTACAAATTAACATGAAAATACAGCAGATTCTGAGATCAGAACAATGGAGGAGATATAAATGGGGACACAAATATAATTCATTTTAAAAATAAATACAAGCTACTGTCTTCTATAGATTTACAACTAAATAAAATACCTAAATACTATGGATTTCATTTTTAAGCATGTGTATCCTTTTTTTAGCTATTTAATATTCAAATTTCAAAAGCTAATATCCATGGAATCAATAAATATTAATATGATTAAATACTTTCTTGATATCACATTAGCTAGGGGTTGTTTAATGAAAAGTACAGTAAACCATGAACAGCTTAGTGTAGCAGACTAAACCACATTATGTGGAAGATGTATGATTTAGTGTGAGTAAATGGATACTAAACGAGATTTGTAGTCAAGAGGATCTGGTTTCAGTCCCTTACGTAGAACAGTGTCCTCCAATAAATAGCAAAAGCAAAACAGGGCAGCCAATACGTGAACTTCCATAACAGAAGGCTGCATAATTAATTTTTTCTCAAAACAGAACTTTGAACTTTAACACAGACAACATTAAAATTAGTATCAAGTGCTAATGAGGTAACCTATATACCCAAATGTCATGAAGATGATGTTTGTAAAGCAGAACAAATTGGTTATTTCAAATTAAGAAAAAATACTTGAAGTTCCTGATCAAGCCAGAAATTTATAGGTTCAGCCACAAAACTCACACCTCTTCTAAGGAACTATGAGTCATATATTCTTCAAGAGAATATAGGGAAGTTGTACATTATTATGGGATATTTTCAAAGGCTTTAGTCTGGCTCTAATAGGGTTAAACAGATCAAATATTCTGTTCAGAGAGCCTCACACGCCTTCACAATACCTCATGAACTGGGACCCAATCTCTCCAGCTATAAATACACTCTTTGATGTACTTTCTTTAAACAACTGCATTTTCGAATACAGTTGTTTATTGCTGGTATATACTTGTAATCCAAATTGAAAAAAAATCTTTCCAAAAAGTAATAAAGGCAAGTATATTAACAAAAACATTTATTTGTAAAGAAATACAGTTACACATCAATGTAAAAAAGTTATTGAAAATTACAGAAGCATGAACTAAATAGCTGGTTTCATTCTTATCGCTTCTCCGATATCAAGTCAGAAGTGACTGCATTAAGGTAGCCCATTTTTTAAGGATTAAAGTTTAATATTATAACAGAAACACACAAGGTAGCATTTTCTAGTTGGAAACACTTTGCAGAAGAGTAATATTGTCTCCTTTTAACATGATTCGACCTGCAATGAAAGAGTGCCATAAAAATTAATTGAGAGAGAGAGATGCAAAATAAGAAATGCCATACATGCAACTATAATTATAGTAGAAAAATTTACATACATACTGAGTACTACTACAACTACAATCATGCCTTTTTTTCCTGCAATGGAAAAAAATTCCACATTCAATCCTGGCCAAAGTTTCACAGGGAAATTGTACTAGTTCTCCTAATGGATAATATTTGGCAAGAAAGGGGGATGCAACATACATCTCTTTTGGCTACCCTTGATCTCATAGCAGCTTTTGGTGCTATTCACCTAAGGTAATGTGCCAATTAATTATATGGACACTATGAAATGGCAGTTCTGTGCTACCTGTAGGCTTGTTCACTTACATGCAAATACAAAACTGAGATTCCCATTGTGGATTTTCACTAAATTAAATCAGCATTACTTTTTTACTAGTACCAAAAAAAAGGATGTCTGCTATGTACTACCAAAAAGCTTATACTTACCCAGCTGTTTTCTTGATTTTGTTTTAGAGTGAATTTCCTCAGCATCATCCAGAACTAAATTCATATATTCATCAAAACCCTGTGAACCAGAACATAGAAATATGACAATTCATTGAATGGAAGGAAGGAAAACCAGGGATGACAATGAAGATGCAAGAATGGTGGATTCAGTTAGCTTCATCAAATGGGACAGATTGGTCTGATTTTATTTAAAGTGTATTCATCCTTCCCTTTCAAACTATCAAAATTCCCATGGGGGTTCCAAACTAGAAGACAGAATGAAGCATCATAAAAGAAATAGCATAAACAAGTCACAGAAGCAGCAATAAAAAAGTGAATAATCATTTAACTGGAAGTCCAGACAAAGAAAATAATGGTTAGCACTTAAAAGTTGGGACAGTTAAACTCTCCTGAAAATATATCGATTCTGGCTTTCACAGCCAGTGTCAACCCAACAGTCATGAGCTTCCAGGTAACACTAGAATGAGTGGTTTTTCATAATTAACACCAAATGAGGAAAGGTAAGGACATGGTTATGATGTGATTAAATCTGAGGGCAAGGCAGCCAATTTGATCACCCTGGTAAAACCAGAACAGGCCATTCCAATGCCAGCACACTTTCAATAAAATTTAATAAGGTATTCAGAGTTGGGAAATTTCATCTTTGAATAGTTTTGCACTTCTATTCCAAAAAAGTTCTAAATGGCAAGAGTGAACCACATATATTATTTAGTGAGGGGCTTATTTCAGAGTTGGAATGTTTTGGGACAGTTTTGTATACCCCAATGTGTTGCAGGGATACGCAAACATTTGACTTTAAAAGAGCAATTCTGACCCTGCAGGAAGTGCCCCTGACATCATCCTGAGCAATCTGGAAGCTTTACAAACCTGAAACAGTCCTGCTTTGAGCCCAAAACAAGATCATCAGTCCATCTAATTTAGTATTTTTTAAGCCAGTTTCCTGGTTTAGATAAAACTTTGCTCGTATCTTGCTTAGCAGGACCAATTTCTCTTAAGTCATAGAAATGAAATTATGGAACACTGGTTTAAGAAAAATATGTTTACTTACTGTACTAATTAATGTTTTTCTTTTAGGCTGAGATAAGAAACTAAGTTAGAACAAAGTGATCTCTTTTTGCCATCATATTTAAGTTATATTTTTCTTTACATGTATGTGGAAGCAGTTACAATACTTACAATGATACAGCCTTCTATCCGCATGTTCACTTGTTCATACAGCCAAACCTGAATCCGGGACCTCTGCAAAGTAAATAGCAAAGAAACTATTTAGGACACTGTGGAATTCTGTATAGGTTAACAATCTTATTTGTGTGGACCAGGTTCTTGTGGCTCTCTGGCACATAGAAACTGCAAAGTGAACCCGCCCAAAATAAAAATAACTGTTTTTACTGAGTCTTCTCCATTGCCATTTTTTAAAAGTTAAATCCTTATTAAAACAAATTTATTTACTCAAGATGTGTAATAAGATTTTAATTCAAAACCATCTACATCAAATAATTTCATTAGAAGCAAGGATTATGAAAGACACTGAATAAGCTCAAGCTTACTATTCCTGCCTTTACCTTTTTAAACTTTCAAGATTTTTTGTTATCTATAATGATAAATAGTACTTTTAAGATTCCTGAAATGCATGTTTATCTATTTTCTCTAGTTTTCTGAAATAAGTGCTTCATACCAATTGGTCACTTCCCCTCTAAAACTTAATGGAGGTGGGGTTGTATTATATGTATAAACAATACAAAATCACACTTTCAGTGTACAAAAGGTATCCCAAATATCAATAATTATTCAAGTACATTGTTAAATTTGAAAAATTAAGTTATGTATACTTACATTCTGTAGGTACCGAAAAATGAGGTTCTATCACAAGCGAATTTAGGAAAATACGTATAAAAAGGAGTACCCCACATTCATTGACAGAAATTCAGCATTTCTTAACACACGTACCATTTCTTTAAGTTAACAGGTTATGGAAAGTCTCTTACATACCAAACCTTACACAAAATGAAATCACCTTGGTGACTGAAAGACGGTAGAGTCAAACTTAAACAAGTAGTTGATTTCTTGAATCAACTTCGGCCACGTTAATTCTATCCCCAACCGGATTAATTGTATTTGTGTCCTCAATCTCGTATCCCAGGCGTTCAAGGCTGTTTTCTTAGCCAACCTATTTTAGTCTCACAATAATTAGCCTGAGCATGCGTGAGTGGCCGAGTCACCTAGAGAGTTTCATTCGATAAGCCTCTCTTAATCCATCCCTAACCACTAAGCAAAGCAATCTCTTTCTACCCTTACAAAATTTGCTTACAGAAAATAACGTTTCAATAACGTGCGTCCTTCTGTTATCGGTTACATATTGTTTGAGCGAGGGAAGAAAAAAACCGAGCAACGTGTCAATTTCTCAGCATGATGCCTCCTACCCCCTTCCTTTGCCTCCATCCCCGCAAGCCAGGCTCCCGCGTGTCGGGGTCGCCCCTCACGGGCCCTGCCGCTTCCTTTTCTAAGTCGAGCCCAGCTTCCTTCTCCCATGCCACAGAAGGATACGATAGGCTGCACCATCACTTTCTGCACCTTCTGGCCCTGCCCGCGGTACGCCATTGCCGAGTCAGGGTACGAAAACGACGGAGGCTTAAAAAACAGCGCTGAACGGCTTCTTCTTCTTCCTCTTCCTCTTCTTCTTTTTTTTAAAAAAAGTCTTTCCTTTCCCGCACACGCGCGCGCTCACGACCCGCCGACGTACTGCAGAGTTTCCGGTGTAGACCGGAAGCGACGGGTTTCTAAACTGCTTGGTTCATAATGGTGAGAGCGAATGATCACGGATCACGTGAGTGGAACTGCTTTTCTCCTTCCTTTTAGCCATATTACTTCCGGGCATGTTGTTGCTGGTCAGTGGGAGGTGCCATCTTAGAGGAGGGCAACGGCGGCGTTGACGCCGACGACTAGAGTTCGGTCTTCGGCCCGCAAAGAAGAGGTCGAAGTGCGGTGCTGCGAAAACCGAGGACTTGGTGTCGTCGTCATATTATCGGGGTTCGGTAAAGTCCCTGCGCATGGGTGACAAAGGCCTGGGTCCCTTCCCTGTGTCTCCGATGTACAGACAGCGGCTTCCTTGCGTGTAATTTATTGAATTCCTTTTCGTCAGGGGCGGCTTCCTCTAGGCCCCGGAGTCTGGGATTCGGCCTGTGTTTATTTCTCTGTTCCGGCTTTTCCTGAGGCCTGCTCTTTACATTCTCGCCTTAGCTTGCCCTTTAACGCCCAATTCCTAATTTCTGCAAAAGGTGTTTTGCTGTATTATTTAATTTCTTTATAATCTCCCCCCCTAACACGCCAGACTGGGGGAAAAAAATCTCTTCTGTTCTTTTTTCACCTTTTTAGGTAAGTGGTATCAGCATTACCACTCTCTTTCTGAGCCACCCCCCTCTTCAATATTTGGTTAAATAATTATTTTCTCTCCACTTTTCACTTCCTTAAGGGTTTAGAGGGCGGGAAAAAAAGCCTAGCAGACGTTGTGACATTTTGGATTTAAAAATTCCTCACCTGATTATTTAAAGCCAGTGCTTGTTTGTTTGACAAACACATTTTTAAAATAGAAATGAATAGTGTTTATTATATTTGACAGTGACATTGGAGATTTTCTATGATATGAAGGTTAATATAGTAGGATAATTAATTTAGACTTCAGCATTGAATTCTGAAACTTTTTTTGTCATTCTTTTAGGCTAAACACAAAATACCATTTTAGTGAAGGTAAGGGTTCCTTTTGATTGCAGGAAGATATTTTATCTCTATTAGATGATTTAAATAAAAACTAAATATAAGTTAAATTATGGTACTTTCCACAGCAGTCTCTTTGCTTCTTAAAAAGCATAATGGTACAAGGAGGAAAAAAGCTATTAATAAAGCTATATTATAGTAAATTATGCATACATTTTATATTAGTTATGATAAACTTCCTATATTCTTCACTTATTGGATATGGAGTCAGTATTAATACCTGCTAGTTTAAAGAATCAGTTTTTCTAGGAAACAACAATTATAGTGGACTCCAGGTAGCTACAGAAACATATCCATGTGCTTGTCTTGGGAACTATGTGCAAGTATTTTGCAATTTCCTTAAAACAGCTGTGACAAAACAAAAAGTAAAATGGATAGTCCTGAAGATGATGGCTAACCTATTTTGCCTATTTTCCTGGCACATAGAACACACCACCAGCTAGAATTGCATTCTAGAAGGTCCGCACACTATAACAAATAAGGCAGATTCAGTAGAATTTTAAAAGCTAGCTAATGTAATGTCAAGCACTTTTGTGAGCCAGAGTTGGCTTTACCTGAAACCTGTACTGGTAGGGAAAAAAAACCCCTAGGATAGTTTTAGGGTAAAGAAAAAATAAATTCACTTTATTCTGTATTTATATTCTATTTTCTGTGTTGTTTGATATTGAAAGCTTAGCGCCTATTTTTTAAATGCTGTCTCTGACAGCAGAATCCAAAAGCAATTTAGAAGGAACTAGTGCTGTACTTGTATATGATGAATATTGTTCAGCCATTTGAGATGGTTGGATATTTTTGATAAGCTCATCACTCTTCCCTTCCAGAACATGCAGAAAGGCTTTCATAACAAACATGCCACTTTTGTCTCATGGATGGTATGTTCTCAGAAAGGAAACTAATTCTTATTTGCATATTATGAACAAATTTAAGCATTATCCCCCCCCCCCGATTCTTCGTTCAAGAAATAACTTCTGTAGGCTCCTTCTATGCAAACCCATGAATATCTATTCAGAACTAAGTTCAGTTGAGTTGAAAGGAACTTACTCCCAGGTGCATATAGAGTTACAGGCTCAAAGTACAAATATGGATGTTATAAATTCTTTCTTGAGATAAGTGTTTGGATATATGCAAACATTACTGTAATCAAATCTTTTTCCCCCCAATCAGAAGGCTTTTAAGGAGATTTGCTGTCCTTTGACAAATCATGTTGTAATTGAGAAAAGAGTTAATTAGTTCCAACAATCATCAAAGCATTAAAGAAATAGTTTTAGGTGACTTTAGTCGATAAACACCATCCTATATATTGGTAGGGGTAGCTGAGAAATTGGATACCATTGTCCCAAGTAGTCATAAGTTTAACTGCCTTCTTGTTACTTTCAATAACAAATTCAGGACAACAGATCTCTTGACTCAAGAAACAAGGTCAGATCATATTTTCACAGTTTTGATTGTTTTACTTAGAGCTTTGGCAATTACATACATCAGTGCTGTGAAATGGCAGGTTAATTAGCAAAATGATGGCTCTAATTTTGGCTGTTTTTAGCAGTTTAAAATGTAGATGAAAAGATTCCCTGTACATTCTTTCCATTATTAGAATCAACTGATTTATAGCTTCTAAGTATCTTGTAGATATATAAAACATCCTCTGTCATCTGGATATGCTAACTTTCAGTGTTTTGTAGTCAAATGGAACAAGTTGAAGTGAGCAGAAAAATAAGAATCTAAGAATTTCTGTGTTTTGACGATTCACTTTATATTGCTGGAAATAGCACTCCTTCTCCAAAAGGTTAGCTAGTAGTAGTTGGCCCTCTTCAGGCTTTTGTACCAACTGAATTCAAAATTACTCAGCTTTATAAAAATGCAATTTAAATACAGTAATTGGCTTCCTTCTTATTATTGCATTAAAAGATGGAAGAATCATCTTTTTCACATTATTTAAAATAGTTGAGGTTTTTAATGTAGCAGTGGAACAGTTGAATAGTTCTGGCTTTACCCACAGGGTAACAGTTATCTGTTACCAAAGTTGGTGGTATGTTCTTAAACTACAACAGACAGTATGCAAAATGCTTGAGGTATGTAGCTGAATGAACTAAATGTATGGGTACCATAATACTGTTCCCAAAATTATCCAGTGTGTATGAAAATGAAAAGCTCCTAACAAAATTATTTTAGTTTTGCTTGTTATGGCAAGTGTATTAAACTTTGTACACCCAAAGGGCAACTTGTCAAAAACATCTTTTTTTCCCCATTTTTAAGGCAATTCATCAATCCATTATGGATTTTTTAATATATTTATTTAAAGTAGAATGATTATGGCAAATAATGATATGTCTTTGACAGAAACCTTTTTCCTTCATTCAGATTTCTCCATCTGGAGCACTAGTGTCATTTTGTGCAAGCAAGACAAGCTTCTGTATAAAAAAGAAAAGAGATGCAAATAAGAAAAACAAATTATAGATGACAGATTTCTTAAATTCGAATTGTTGAAATAAAACATGGACAACTAAATTAAAAAAAAGTCCCTCTACTCTTTTAGAGTTGGAAAAATAACATACCATAAATATCCAAAAACATATTATTTTGTGTGGAGTAAAAGTTTCCAACGTATTGTTCTTCATTCATTAAAAATTACATATGCAAAATGATATTTGAAAAGAATAAATTCTGCTCTTATTAACACACACTTTATTTGCTGTGTGACTGAAGAGGCATTAATTGTTAGGATGTTAGACCAAAGATATTTCAATCTTATCACTGACAAGCAGCAACATCTTTTTTTGCAGGGAAATTTTGCACTGCCAATGAGAGAACAAAATTTAGAGTTAAAAAAAAAAAAACTTGAATAGCCTGGAAGTAAAACATATTTTTCTTGATGTTATGCTGCCAAATATATTGCTTTTGCAAGTTCAAATAATACTATACAAAAATTAATGCAACTGATAAAAAAATAGTTCTTATAAGGCACCCTTACACATGATATGTGTAATGTCTGACTATATGCAGTATGAATATACCTATTTATGTTTGTACTGTATGGTAAACTATTCATCTAAAAATTTAATTACATGGAAAATTAATCTATTTTGATTTATCCAAATTTTATTTGCAATGTAGATTATTAATATTGTCCTTGCATATGCATTTTTACATGTATAAGCACATAATATGCAGCTTTATGTGTATATACATATCTGACTTTATATCTACCAACATTTTTACTATACAGTTAATAAAGACCGGGGAAGATTTTTTTCTTTTTTTCAATAGGTGAAGAGATCTCGAAGACCAGAAATTGAAACATTGTGTTTTAATTTTAAAAAAAAAAAAAAAGTAAAATTGCCTGGCTGTGGAAGATGGATCTTCTTTGCAGCTGGTTTGAAACACAAGTTCCTCTTTAAATGAACTGTTTATTTTGAAGAGGCAATTAACCACTGCTTCCAGCTTTCCTGGCTATTCAAATGGACTTACTTTCTCCAGTAGTTGTAATTCACCCTTTATCTGAATTTTGAATGAGGATGAGATTTGTTTCCTTGGCAATGTGAGGAAGAAAAGTCTTTCTATCCCGTTATTATTTCATGGATTGAGTGTTGATTCGACCTACAGGAGAAAAATAACTGGAAGTCTTTGAAGATAGTATCTGCTGATCATACCAAGGTATTTCAACCTGTATTCTTGAATTCAGTCTGTATTTTTAATAACATTTTGCTTAAGCATATCATTTTCAAATATTTAGTTATTATAAGAGTTATATGGCCACTAAGTTGACATATAGCTCTGGGTGGCTAACAGTCAAAACAATATCCACAATAACATTAAAAACAATTTAAAAAACACTGCACACATGGAGGAAACCCAAATAAACAGTCGTCATACTAAATGCCCATCATTCACTGAGGCTTACTGTTTGGCAAACAGCCAGGTCGCCTTACAGAAGGCCAGCAAGGTTGAGGCCATCCAAATCTCAGAGGATATGCAGTTCCATAGGGCAGGTACTGCAACAGGAGGCCTTAGAAGACATTGCTTGATGGAAGGGACCCAGAGAATGCCCATCCTACTGGACCTCATGAAATAAGCAGAAACAGTTGGGGATAAGTCATCCCAAAAACAAGCCAGCCCTATGCCATGACAGATTTTATAGGTGATAGCTAGTACCTTGAATTGCATCTGGATATTACTACATTGTAAAGGTATAGAGTAAAGTGAATACTGTGAATACTTCAAGATAGGCCAAGCCAAGAAGCAGACACCACAAGGATTCCAGGAATGCTACTTTATTGTTGTAAGGTATCTTGAAAGTCTCTCCAAGTTTATCTCTGTCCCACCTTATACTAAACAAAATTAAGATGGTATTATTTTGAGTTTCTCATGCTTCCTTCAGTCTCTGGACTGTGTAATCTTTTCTCCAAGCCTCCCTTTAATGGTTCCTTCATATCTTCCCCACGATCAGCTCTAAATTCATGTGTCTGTGCAAATGTATGCAATAACTTAACTCCTTTTTAAAAAATCAGTAAGTAGTATTAAGAGTTAAACTTGTATGGAAATGGAAAGTTTCTATCAGATGGTATAACTTTTTCAGTGATATTTAAATCTTTTATTCTCTCCATTTGTTTTTCCCAAGATTATGTTCTAAAGAAGATATTGCTAAATCCAGCCTATAGAAGATTGTACCATTTTAAACATCGCTGTGATTAGCCATCACTGAAAAATAACAAAATTGTATTCAGCCATTTGTTTCTACACCTTAAACTTGAAGGAAGATTCATTTGAATATGTCTAACCAAGGAGATGATTGTTACTTCTATTTCTACTCTACTTGTACTAAGGTATTTTTCGTAGCATCTGAGTCTTCTAACCATGTTTGTATTACTTCATCTGTGACTCAATAACTGTACTCTATTCAGTTTAACAACCACCACCTCTTATTAATTTTTAGTGAATTTCTTGATATAGTTATGGAAAATACATAATATGCTTGTGTATAGGAAATGCAAGACAATGACAGTAGAGCTTGATTGTATTAGGCAAATATATAATTGATATGTCTCATTTATTATATTTTTGGTGCAGTTGTTCACCTAGTGCCAGCTTATACAATAATGATCAGCTTTTTTGTTTGTTCTTCTTTCTACTTGCCTGTGGACTATGTTACTTTCTAAACCTTTTATATATTCATATATCCAGAGTATAAATATATAAAAGGTGTTCTTTCATTGAGGTCCTATTTTTGGTTTGTCATTCCAAAACTGGGGAAGGGGCATCAGAAGACCCTAACCCTGCTTCTGGAGCAAATGAAAGGGAGATACCCACTTTCAGATCTCATGCTTTCATTATATAAAATGGACCTTTATAGTAAGTCCAGTGTACTATTCTCCCATGAAAATGAATGAATGGTTGCTATTTATTACAGTATTGAAGACTGGAATTGCTTTTCACATTTTGGAATTTATCTACCTGGATCATCACTCTTCTGATGTGAAATTGTTCTCATCCCTGCAGCTTACCATCATGGCTAGCTTTATGCTACAAAGAATATTTTTCTTAAATCTGCCCTTGCGTATATTTGATTGCTTGATTTAGTCATTTTGTAATTTGTAAGGCGGAATCCAGTTAGTCCTCAGTGGGATAGCTTTGATTTGATTTAACTTGATTATCTAAATCACAATTCATTTACTTGTCAGGAAAATCCTATAATCATCATTTCTAATACACTTGCTTTCTTCTTGTTTTATATAACCTAAATAGAAATTATTTTACACTCATAGATTTTTCATTTTTATATGTACTTAGAGTACATATATAAACCATTTACTTAGGTTTTTTCAGATTAATCTACATCATCAAATAAAATTATGATATTAATGCTAAGCAAGCAGATTTGTATTTGTGAAATCATTAAAAGCTGGTATAGCTCCCATGTAATTAATTTTTGGGCTAAAACAACCATCGCTAGTTGTTAAATTGTATTATTCCATGGCTTCAATTTCCCTATTAATTTACCTTTGTTGTAGCATTTCTGGAGAAAAAATTGTATACCAGATCTATTAAGTTACCTCTCATTTTATATTAACAAGTAGAATACATAGTCAGAACCTATGTTTATTTTTAATGAATCATTTAATGAATCATTTTCAATGACAATTTAAATAAAAATAAATGTTTACAAAAATAGGGGTTTTTTTCTTTTCTTTTCTTTTGTGCTGGTCAGCTTACCCTCTTTTCTCAAATACCTTCAAAATCTGCACTAAAGACTTTTAAAGCAGATTTTGTGGGGACCTGCAGGGAGATGGGATGAGAGGAAGGTGCTATGTGTATAAGTCTACTTGCATGGCATTGGATTTCACCCATAGATTTTAATCATTCACCCTCTATCATTTTTCATAGGGGGATAATTGCCCTTTCCGTCACTGTGAAGCTGCCCTTGGAAATGAAACTGTGTGTGTGCTTTGGCAGGAAGGTCGATGCTTCAGGAGTATCTGCCGCTTTAGACACATGGAGATTGATGTAAGTACTTATAACACATAATAAAGCAGTACATTTAATTTGACAAGCTGTGCAAGTAAGAGGAAAGCATACATTGTTGACATTAAATAGATTGTGGTACTTTAGTTGTGGCCTCGTTTTGACTTTTGTAGGAGATCGTTCACAGACCATCAGTATAAATAATATTGCAAGTCACCATGGATCAGAGCTTCAAAGCATCTTTCTAGATAGATTTTAATTTGAACATGTGTCTTTGGTTAGTGGTTTTAATAGCCTACATTGGAAGAGGCTATAATCTCTTTTATTTCAGATTTACTCTGCTATAGTCAATTATTGTATTTACAGATGCAAAGGCCCATAAACCATTCTGCCTATTTTCCCATTGTTTCTGAGGTCTCTCCTCTATGAGAAGAAAAAAATGAAATATTTTAATTTTAAATGTAAAATAGTTTACTGGCAAAAATGGTCTACATTTGGAAAAACAGCAAAGTGAGAAATAAATTAATGTGAAGGAGTATCAAAGCTTGACTCAGTACAAGCAGACCTTCAGAAGTTACAATAAAAAGGATCAGAAATAGAAACTGTTGATAATAGTAATGAGACTGATTAGACAGTGTATCAAGTGCCAAATTGTATCCTGACCCTTAGTTTCCTCTTTTCCCTTTGTCACAAGAATTGAAAAATATTTTAAAGTTAACTCATCAATACATTTAAAATTATTACCTGAATAAACTGTATTTTTCAGTTTTATAAACCAGACATACTTTTCTAAGTAAATCAAGCTATGCAGTTTATATTTGATAAAGTCAAAAATTGATGTTTGTAAGGGATATTAAAAATTATATACTACATATTTCAATTTCTACAGGATTTATTGATTTTTCAAAGTAAAACTAAGAACAACATTACTTTAAAATTCCTGGAAATGTTGCATCTCTTATTATATCAGATGATATAGTGGATAATAGGATCTACAAAGAAAATTCTATTTATTTGATAAAATATCAAATGAGGGAGAGGTGAAAAATGATTGTATAAGATCCAGTATGAGCGAATGTATTTATACACTATGCATGTGTGTATACTACTGTGTCTCTTCCTTGCTACATCTCTATTCCGAAGAAATCCTGAACTCTGACATTTTATTTATTTATTTATTTATTTATTTATCAAACTTATCCCTGCCCATCTCCCCCCATGGGGGACTCTGGGCGACTTACAACAGATTAAAACAATAAATACACAGTTAAAATGTATTAAAAAAAAACATATTTACACAGAGTAGAAGGAAGAGGAAAAATCCAGGAGGCCGATGGAAGCAACACCAGGCCTCTAGGGGGCTAGCCAACCCCATATCTGATGATATGATACTTGCTTTTAAGAGATGTGAGTGATTGTGAGCTGGAAAGTCCTTAGAGGACTACCACACGCTGTTCTTGAATTCTGACTATTTTGATTAAAATTGTCAATGTCCTGAAGGAAATGGATTTTTTTAAAAATTAGGTAATATAATTATATGTTGTGTTCTAATTTCATATTCAGGCAGTTCTTTGTAAAGAATCACGTCGCTGATATCATCTTTGTGACCTTGTCTGAATGTCATAAGAGGGTTTATTATTTGTTTAAATAATTTATGTGGCTGCCAGACTTGAACAATGTGACTCAGGGCAGCTTACAAGAAATAACACCCCCCACAAAAAACCAATCAACAATAATAATAGGCTACTTGACTCACATTCATACCCTCTCCTGATGGAAACTTACTCATCCTAGCCCCAGTGCTTGGGGGAATAACTATGCTGTTAAGGCCTTTCTAAAGGTCAGTAGGATCAGGGTCAATCAAACATCGCCGGGGGGGGGGATTATTCTAAATGATAGGCATCACTGTTGGGCCCCTTTAGGAAAGGACTCAAAGCATGGCCACTGTTTTTGAGTGAGTAGAATGGGCAGACGTCATTAGGGAGAGGCACTCCCATAAACAATCCGGAAGCTGATAGGGAGCCAGTGCAGCTCACAAAGTAGTGTTATGTGGGCATACTGACGTGTCCCCATAATTACCTGCACCATTGCATTCTGGACCAATCGTAGCTTCCAGATGGTCTTCAGGGGCAAAGCCACATAGAGCATGTTGCAGTAGTCTAGTCTAGATGTGACTAAGGCATGAGTGACAGCAGGCAGGAACGGTGGATAAGATGAAGTAGTACAAAGGTCCTCCTGGCTGTAGCTGCCACATGCTTTTTGAGCAGGATCTGTGAATCCAGGAGAACCCCCAGATTGTGCACTAGGTTTAGGTGGAGGTATATAGCTCCATCCAAAGCCAAAGATGAAAAATCTCCAGTTCCAAAATCCAGATGCAAAACTCACAGCCACTCAATCTTCCCCATCCAGACCCTTACACCTCCAGGCACTGAGATAGAACCTCATCAGTTTCACTTAATTAAGCCAGGAGCAGAGATACATAATTGGGTTGTCTCAGCATGCTGGTGATACTGCACTTTATGCTGATGGATGACCTTTCCCGATGGCTTTATGTAGATGTGGGAAGAGGGTAGAGCCCTGAAGCGCTTTATGAAGCAAGGTTTAAGGACTAGATCATTCTTCCCACCAACACTGACTGGAACTGGCCCTGAAGGAAGGAGGAGAACCACTATAACATAGTGTCTCCTTCTCCCAACCCCAGAGGAATGCCATGGTTGATGATATTGAAGGCCACTGAGGGCCAAGATGGATGCCCACCAAAGATCATCAGTAAGCTATTTTGGTACTATTTCCCAGCCTGAATCCCAACTGAAAGAGGTCCAGATGGTCTGCTTCCTCCAGGACTCTGGAGCTGCAGTCCCACCACCTTCTCAACAACCTTACCCAAAAAGGGAAGGTTGGAGACAGGATGGAAGTTGTCCAAATCTGTAGGATCCACCAATGGCTTCTTGAGGAGGGGGTGGATAGCTGCCTCTTTCAGAGGTTTAGTTGGTACTCTAGCAAAATAGCTGCTGGGACAGCTGATAAGATTGTTAAAAAAAAATCAAGATTGGGCAAGATTGTCAAGTGCCAAGGAAGGTGTCTGCTGTGGCATTAGTACCTCCATACACAATAGTGAGGACTTCAGTGAAGGCATACATGCCATATGGCTTGGTTACTTGAGGTACTGCCTGTGTCCCATAACATCTGCCTGGCCAATTCGATCCTGCAGAGTTGGCATGCTCTGGGTTCCTTTGATTAAACAATGTCATCTCTCAGGATCTTTGAAGCATGCCTTCTCTGTAGCAGCACCTGCCCTCTGGAATGCGGTTCCTCCTGAGATCTGGATGGCCCCTATTCTATTGTTGTTTAGAAGAGCTGTGAAGACTTGGCTCTTCACCCATGCCTTTGGCAAAGAAGAGTGATGACCCCTTGGTTCACCGCGCTTGCCCTCTTTTATCTCTATCTTTTATGTTTTATTGATTTGATTGTAATTTCTTTGATTGTTGTGAGCCGCCCAGAGTAGTTGAGAATTGGGCAGCATACAAGTTTAATAAATTATTATTAAACTCAAGGTGGTGAACATACCTAATATTCCTTCCTCCTCCTGTTCTCCCCACAACAACCCTGTGAGGTGAGTTGGGCTGAGAGAAAGTGATTGGCGCAAAGTCACCTAACCGGCTTTCATGCCTAAGGCGGGACTAGAATTCACAGTCTCCTGGATTCTAGCTTGATGCCTTAACTACTAGACCAAACTGGCTCTATTATTGTTGTTGTTATTGTTGTTATTGTTGTTATTTTAATATGAAATATTATTAGTTTATTGGTAAGCATATCTGCTGGTGCCTGTTGCAGCAGTCTTTAAAGCTTTTATAATGGCATATGTGGGGTACTTTCAGAAGCTAGTAAGCAGAGATTGTCACCAGAATGTTATTTTAGAGTTATTTATGGCTAAGCCCCAGATCCTTTCTTGTGGCTTGTGGAGTTCCATTTAAAGAAAAACAGCAAAACAAATGTCAAGGTTCTGATAAGCTTAGTATGCCAATTTTACTCTTTACTTTTAAGAAATGGAGAAGAGAATTCCACTCTGTTCCTTCCAGAGATGGCAGTTTCATGTCCTTGGCGAAATGCAGATATTCCGAGATGCACACATAGTGTACAGCCTCCGGCTGCAAAAAGATTGCCTACTTCTGGTTTATGGGGCTACTCTCAGGCTAATAACACTTAGAAGTACCCTGAAGAAGACACAGAAAGCTTTTAAAAACTATAGATAGCTATTTGCTAGCAGTGTGCCTACTGGTAAACCTGTCTGTCTCTCTGTCTGTTTATTTATTTATGGGCTTTTTTGTCAGCTGAATACACTGTGTGTGCTGCTGCCTAATATTGTGGACTTGCAGGCTCTTCCAGCCATAGTTAATAGCCTCTGGTTTGTCTTTAGAAAAAGCGCAGTGAAATACCATGCTTTTGGGAGAATCAGCCAATGGGTTGTCAGAAATTGAACTGTGCTTTCCACCACAACAAAGGACGTTTTGTGGATGGGCTTTTCTTACCTCCAAGCAAGAGTAAGTTATATTTTCATCCTTGGAAAACAGTAGTAATTTAATCTAAGTACAAACTTTCTTGCATTCTATTGTCAGTGTGCATACTTCTGTAAATATAACAACAAAAACTATACTGGATTCATTAGAGTTTTTAGGACTGTAACTCCCCACCAAATGGCCCCAATTTATAACAATTACCAGTTCCACATGAATAAGTTGTTTATAATCCAGGCCTTTCTTGCTTATGTGGAAATAGCTGCATCAGTTGAGCTATCTGTGTTAAAAGTTTCCCATTTGACTCGCATAACATCACAGCATATACACAAAGAAAACTACCATACCATTATGGTAGTTTTACCCCCAAAGAGGTAGTGGTTTACCTCTTTGGGGGTAAACAACTTTTTACAAAGTGCAGTAAGAGAATAAGAAGTAGTAAGCAAAAGAAATAATGATGGGTGGAGAAAAAAAGGAAATGTAATTAAATCTAATTTACGCCAACACCATTTACTTTATTTCTCCATTCCTTTCTGTTCTTGCAAACCATCCTTGTATACATCATGTCCATCCATACAATGGATGGACATGATGTATACATTGCATCTTGTTCTTTATCTCTTCTTTCTCTTTTTCAGGATCTCATTAACTCAATCCAGCAATAACTTTCTTGGTCTTGCCTTTGTTCTTGATCCATTCATTTTCCCTTCATGTATTCATTTTGTGATTTGATCCTCATTCTATGTGACAGGGCCACCTTTAACGTACTTCTTTTGTACTAACCGCTCACTTTAGTATTAAATCCCCATTCTTTCAGCACCCATGTCTTCTTGATTCTGTCTCTTCTTGTTTTACAACACACACCTTTTAAATAAGATACTTAATACTGTACATATGTGTTCTATATATTGTAAGTAATGGAGTGAATTCAGGCATTGATACTCTTTGAGTAAGCTTGTTTGAAATCATGGAATTTATGTCAGTTATTACTAAATTAAGTCTCACAGATTTTAATGAATTCATTCTGAGCATGACCAAGCTAAATGGATTATTTGATGTTGTGTCCTTGTTTAAGCTGTTCTTCCAAATGTGCCTGAGTCTCCAGAAGAGGAGATGAAGACTACACAGCAAAACAAGCTTTCTGTTCAGTCCAACCCATCACCTCAGTTGCGTGGAGTAATGAAGGTGGAAAATTCTGAAAATGTTCCCAGTCCCACACATCCACCTGTTGTTATTAATGCCGCAGATGATGATGAAGATGATGATGGTGAGCTAAGCATTAGTCCTTTAACCTAACATAATTTTAAAATAAACTGAGAATGAGTATAGCAAATGAAATGTAGAAGCAGGAGATGATACTGTTTTCTTTAGCTGCTTGGACCATTTTTTTTCCCAAGCTCATCAGATTAGACCTTTAATTTAAGAAAGGTTTCACCTCAGTTTTACAAAGAGGAAATCCAGAAGTGATAGCTAGAAATTGCTAAATGATTTTAATGGTTGCTTCATTTGAGGCTTCCTCTGGACAAGCTGTCGTTTTTGTTTTATGTTTGCCTTCAGTGTCATCATGTATGCCCAGTCACCTCTGTAACTGAACCATATTTTCAGAGTTCAGGAGGAGAAAAGATGTGAAGCCTAGGTGAGATGTACAGCATATTTGCAAATGACATCTCAGTTATTGCCAGATATCATTGTCTTTGTTTCTGTTCAAAAGGCAACAATACTTTTTTTAACAGCTCAAGGATTAGGAACACTTTAGAACTGTCACTGAGGAGGGTTCCTTGCAGAGAATTAGGTATTTCTCTCTTTGCTCACTAGGCAATAGGATAAGATTTTTTTCCCAAACCTCTGATGCAATCTGCCTTAAGAAGTGAGATGTGTTTGTGTGTGACCTCAAACATTAGCCTTAGCCACTTGTTCTGTATTTTCATACGAAAACTGGAATCAATTACTGTTGCAAATGGTAATAATCAGTTAACATATCTAGATTCAGGCTGGTGACTTTCTTCATGGAATACTGAATCTTATTTAGCTGTTTTCTTCTTTTTTTTTAATAGAAAAAAAGATTTATAAGATGTAAAATTGAATAAGAATTTTCAAAATGGCATTAGATTAGTATTGCATATAAATGTGATCTTATATCAGTTATATCAAATTACCACTTTAAAATCATTGTCATAATCAAATCAGTAGTCAATAATTAGCAAAGGCAACCAATATAAGAATCACCAATCAGAATAAACAATTACTAGGAGTTTCCATGTAATCTGAAAAAGCTGGTCCTTATAACAAATCAAACAAAATCTATTATAAACTTCTTCAAAAGCTGGTCCTTATAACAAATCAAACAAAATCTATTATAAAGCTGCTTCTTTAAAGAAGAAACCCAACCTTTGGATGTAGTATAAGCCCATGTGCAAAATTAAAGTCCATTAATGATTCCAGGTTAAATTAAATTCAGTATCAGACTTGTTTTTTAAACATGAAGTTATTTTTTACATTGATGCCTACTTTTATAGCTTAGTCTGTCATTCTTCTAAAGAAGGTTTAGATGTATTCATGTGCAGTTAATCATTTACAAATTATTTTGGATTCTTAAATGCAGTCTGAAATCACATAATTAAGTTATGGATTCTCATGATTTAGTATGGAACCCCAGGATATTGTCCAATGGTTATCCTAATTTACCAAGAATATGGAAAGTAGACATGACACATTTATTTTAATATTAGGGCTATATATCCTTTCTGATCATAAATTATGGTAGCAAATAAGTAGCAATTCTAGGCACATTTGGAAGGGCATCCCACTGATTTAAGTAGGGCTTGCTTACTTATGAATAAACAGGATTAGGATTAAACTAACATTACTGTTCCTTTCAGATCAATTATCTGAAGAAGGTGATGAATCTAAAATGCCTACTCAACAACCCTCTACAGAAGGACCAAATGGACTGCGGGTAATTTCTACTCGAAAATCAGTGACTAGTACAAATCAAGATAAAGGTAAGAACAGAAAGTATGTAGTGTTAAGACTATATTAATTTCCTCCATTGTCTTAAATTTGAAGAGTTTACAACCTTTTTTCAAGAAATACTGTAAATGTTTGATCTCTGGAATTATATATACATTTTTCAGTCAGATATCTACATTTTTTCAGATAAAAGTTTGAATTTTGGAATCAAAACTCTTGAAGAAATAAAATCAAAGAAAATGAAAGAAAAATCAAAGCAGCAGAATGGTATATTGATTTTCTTTCCTTCATACTGTCCTATAATGTCTTCTTTGAGAATTGCAATTGTTGTGATTACTTGGAGAGTGTGCTGTTGCATTGTTGACAAGAAGTCCATTGTGAAAGTTTACTTAATTTTGTTTTAAAGTATTGCTCCTATACAGCCTGATAAAATTACTATCATCTTAAAATAGAAATTGTATAACAGGTGAACAAAGTATGCACCATAGCTGAAAAATGGTTATAACAAATTTAAACTAGAGGGCTGTCCAAATTAAATGAATCAAGTAGTAATATGTGACCTGGTTTCCTTCTGTTTCATAAGTACTTCAGTCAATAATTTCCTAGATCAATAAACTAATTAAATATATTCATTCAATGAGAGCCTACATGTAGACCTGAATGTGCCTTTCTAATACTGTTGGAGTAATAGTGTGCACTAGTCACCATTTTGGGCAGCTTCATTTTGTTTGTGTAAATAGCTCTTCCTTATGCCAAAATTACCCAAGTGTAAGTTCCTGGCTTCTTGCACAATGAATAAGTATCAGTTGAACTACTACTTGGAAGTGGATATGAGGAGCATTGCAAGCTAGTTAGTTGGTTATTGCTTAAAGAAATGTAGAATGTGGCTGTTGTGTTGTCTTCCTTTAGCTATAGAGAGTTGTAGGTTGTGCTGTATAGTGACTAAGAAGATGAAGTTCAATTTCAGCTGCAAGCTCATCTGGGATCTTACTTTTCACAGTATAGGTAGTATTGAGGGTAGTTGTAAGGAATGATAATATGTATGGGCCACTTTCAATAGTTATAGTGCAATCCTAGGCTTATTCTAAGTAAACTTCATTGAGTTAGTTGGGCTGCTTTCTTATAAAGCATGTAAACCTAAGCTACAAATTATAAATAAAGTAGCTGTAGTGAAAGTTAACATAGCTTTGTTTTTGCCATCTTCAGACATTCCTTCTGAAGTGACTGCTCAACCAGGCCCAGAGAAAGAAAATGCACGAACTGTGGTCAGAACTGTAACTTTATCTACGAGGCAAGGTATCTGACTCTACTTTGATTTTAGTTCAGATGCTCTTCTGGCTGTGGAATAATTATAGTTCTTTTCCTCTCTGTTGATCAGAGTTAATACTCTTGGACAGGAATCCTCCAAACATGATGTTACTATATTTGGCAGCATTTATGCTTTGCAAGAAGCAACAGGTCTTAAACTCAGTAGCTAAAAGGATCATTTAACAGAAGTTATTAATTATTAAACTATTATGTTATAATTAACTTTTTTTCTTATGAATGATTCCTGTGGAGAAAATAACTGTAACTGTTGGTTATCTTCTGTATTTAATATCCCTCTAACTTCACTGTTTAATATACACTTTAGCATTGCCATGAATAGATAAGTTATATCTCAATTAATACTCCATGTAACTGAAGGGGGCAATAGTTGTTTATATTTGTGATAGGAAAGCAAAAGTTAATGTTTCTTGCATTTCACTGTCTTAGGTGAGGAGCCTCGTATTCGACTGACTCTCGCAGAGAGATTGGGGAGAAGGAAGTCTCCCACGGGTGAGTAATCACACAAGGAAAAAAAAGTACTACTGAAATGTCTGTTCCCCACACCATTGTCTGTTATATATCACAACCATGTTTCACTTTATAGCTGCATAGATATACAAAGTTCAAGTTATGTATTCCCTTCATTTCTAGCACTTATTAAATGACATGTATGATTATCATACTCAATAGAATTAGGAGCATAATGGATTTTTATTATATTTTGTCATATTAGAAATATCCAAATACTCAATTTATTTGCATTATGAAATTATTTTTAAATAAGAGCGTATAGCCATTCTAGGCACACACCCACTGAAAGCAGCTTATGGTATCATCTGAGTAAATAAGAGCTGTGATTTCAATTACAAGTAGAGGCATATGTATAATATATAAACAGTAGAAATATTTAGGAGGTTTTTTTAAAAACAAAACACCAAAAAGTGAAAAATAAATTCATTCTCTTTTCACCTTAAGTTGCTGAGACTGGACTTCCATTAAAGCGTAGCCTTGCTGAAAGACTGGGGAAAAAAATGGATTCCCTTGAAAATACAGAAAAAACACCAAAAAGAGGTATGGCTGTTCCATTAATAAAATATATTTCACTTATTTCAGGTGTGAGTAATACTCAGATACAGAAAATATTCAGCTGTAAAAATGGCGTTCTTAGTACGTGTTTATATTAATGCTTATTTTTATATACAGTAGATATAGGGGAGTGAGCTTAGAAATAATAACTCTCATATGTCATGCTCTCCTAGCTTTTCTTACAGTGACCAAATAACTATTAAAAATCTTCATAAGGCTGCTATTTATTCATGGAATAAATAAATCTTGCATAATGAGAGGATCTCATTGACCATTCTTTTATAGAGGAAATATGTTTCCCTATTCTACCAGAAAATAATAACATTTTCTCTAAAACAACTCCAAAAGTTACATATCATAATTTTGTGTAATAGTGTACATACTTGAGGCTTTAATATATTATGGGATAATAGGTAATGCACGTGGTTTATTTATAATGGTGCATGTAAATTGCAAGAAGCCATGTGTCTGATTTCCAAAAAATATTTTAAAAAAAATGACTATAGCTGTCTTTATAATTTCTTCTTTTTTTCAGTTCAAGTTCCCAGGTCTCTTAAAGAAAGACTAGGATTGCCATCTGAGCAAAGCAACATGGACACAGGTACTAATTTTATTTTAATACAATAAAATCTCCTTTCAACATTTTCTGCAGTGAGTTTATGCTTAGCTGAATCCTGTGCATGTCTGTTCAGAAAACATCTTTATTGGATTGAATGTTATGCCTAGCTAAGTGAATACTGAACTGTAACGTGGACCTTCTAAAAAATAGTCAACCCACATTGTATTTTTTAATTCCCTTTTTTAAATTTTAGAAGTTCTGTGCTTGCAGGGATGAAGAATCTTGTTCAGCATCTATTTGTATCATATATTTCATACCTTCCACTTTTTTTATTTTGAGCCTCTATGCCAGTATGTGAAAATCTGCAAAGATTGAAAAAGATTATTTATATTTCTGAAATACAGTCCATTTAGAGTGAAGCTTAAAGAATAGCAGCAGATCT